TAATATACTTTATTAACGCTCCAAATCGTATCCCAATCAGTCTCAAAACTGGCCCTGAAGTTTAATTCGTTCCATAAGAAGCTCTATTTAAGTTTAAACTTAAAGTCTATTTAAGTTGTAATTACTGTTAAAAATATCAAAAATTTCCAAAAAATATAAGTTAAAGATAAAGGTTTTTTTATATTATCTTTTGATAAATACTGGTTTTATTATTACATTTGGAATAGAAAATATATTTTTTCGCTTTTCCTGAAAAACTACCAATGGCGATTAGAGTTCACTTTGGAAATAAACGATTCATATAACTTATTGATTGATTTTTATTTTTATTTTGACTTAATATATGTGTTGAATTAATATTAGAGTATTTTAATTTTATAAACTCCGGATTAACTGCTTCATCCACTAAACCGGCGATGAATCTGTCCACACTAGGACGAATAATCATCACTAGCGGATCCAGGATTTAATTTTGGGAGGGCTTCAGCCCGAATGTTTTTTTTTTTTCATAAAAATAACGATAATTACTTTGGAAAAAAAAGAAAGAAAACTAACTACCTATATGAAATGATGTTTAAGTGATTCCTGAAGTCTTTTAAAATGTAATTGCATTATACTTTAAGAGATAATTTTTTTCCATAAAACATGGTTACATTTTACCATTTTGGGGAGAGGGGCTTCAGCCCCAAAGCCTCTCCCTCCTCCCATAGATCTGTCCGTGATAATCGTAATGATAAAAAAATAAAAATACAATGCTCAAAGTATTATCGATCGGAACAGTGACGGTAAACAATGCAAAATAAAAAACTTTCGCGCTGCATTCAATAAGAAAAACATCCTTCATGACCGATTTGCATTTTGCAAACTATCATATATCACACCTAGCAAGCTCCTTTAAGGATAATACTAAGTTTCATTCGTTCTGCTCAAGAATAAATAAATATATGTACATTATTGCTGAGAAGACCTTCAATATTGCAGTGCTCAATGGTAAAGGTATTATAGAAGCATAGTGTTTAATTCAGGTAGCTTCAATGATTAGTACAGCAATATAAATACATAGCCTTTCGAGTACTTCCGGACGACATCGGTCATATAGTATAGCATTATAAACTTTAATCTGTGATCCCTCCATTACTGTATTCAGCCATGATTCATGCAACTGTTAGCTTCAACAATTCAACGTCATTCATAAAAAAAATGCGAAAGTTCTACAGTAATCTTTTTAAAATCTGAATATCCCATTAAACTTTTTACTAATGCCTACAGTTTTCCAGATTGGTTGACGTTTATTATTACTAATCAACAACAAACCCTTCAGGTTTAAATGTTGGTTAAGTTCATTACTTATATGGATTGAAGATAACCCAGCGATTTTGCATAATTTAATATAGTAGTTAAAAAAACAAGTTATTTAGATTATTTTAGAAAAAAAATCATGAAAAGTCTACAAAAATGTTTTGTTTTTTTATTTTAAATAAATTAATTTCGATTATTAAAGGAAATATGTTGGATAAATGATACCAACATTATCATAAGTCTTTCAGAGGTAGATTTTTTAAGTCGAATGTGCTGCAAAATTTGATCAAGTCTTGAATCTATCGAAAGATATAGCATACAACTTTTCTAGACTTAAAACTAACTCAGATTTCGAAATAGCATCCTTAAATCTGCAAAGACACCTCTCTCTGATTGAGCACTGGTGTAATTAACGGCTCATCAAAGTAAACGAACGCAAATGCAATCACATTACCTTCACATCGTGTCCACCAGTCCACTTTAATTCCATCCAGCTTCCTATTTCAGACACAGGCCGGTTTGACTATCTCTTAGAACGAAAACTAAAGTGGTACCCACATAGTGAACTTAAAAAACAAGAGCTTAACAGTCGGTACGGCGAATTATACAGACAACTGACTAGAAAATCTCAACTTTCAATTAACAACAAATTACTGATCTACAAGACAATCCTAAAACCTATTTGGACGTACGGACTGGAGCTTTGGGGGACAGCAAATTTTTCTAAACGGATCCTTTCAGTCCAAAGTCCTCCGAACAACAGTCAGTGCTCCGTTCTATGTAACCAACAAAACCCTACATCATGACCTTAATATCCCATTTGTCCTTGACCTTATCCCTCAAAAAATTTGCAAATTCCATCAGAACCTTACAAATCATCCAAATCTGTCAGGAGTTGGGTGGTGGATTTCTCTTGACTTCTTAGATTTAGACAGGAGATTGTACTACTGTATTTTCGTCTGACCATTTTAAGGAGGAAAAACATTACGTTCAACGATTGTTGAAATCACAGTTGACAAAAATAAAATCAATTGAGAATAAAAAAAAAAATACAATTATAATAATAATTTCAAAATTGAGGTTGATAAAGAGAACGTTTTGACAATTAAAAGAAAAAAAAATTGCCCGATCAATTTTTATACAAATCTGTTAATTCCTAAAATGTTTGTATAAAAAAACAAGAACATCTATTAAATGGGATTTTTTTTTATCTCCTAATTTATTTCAAGTTTTGGAAGAAATCTTGTAAGCAATTATTTCTTCCAGAACCAACTGTAGGTGTATATCAGTGATTCTTGATGCGACATGCAAATTATTTCCTTTATAATTATGTATATTTTAGGTAAAGGAATTTTAGTTAAATACATATTCCATATTTTTTAATTATCCCCTTCATTAGGTACCTTATTTATTAAACACGCCGAAGTATCATTCTTGTGTATGCAAACTTCACAAAAACTAGAAATTGTAATAACGGTATTGTAAATACCATTTGAAGCATTGTAAATAAAGGTATTATTTCATGATTCAGACTAATTTCTTTTTTTTTTTTTTTGTTATAAGTTGATATACCATACACTTACGAATGATTACGTACGTACTGCAAAATATTTCTTTATGATTAATTAGTATAATTTCATATTTTGTTCTCCTATTCTCTTATTTTCCTATTCAGCAGACTATTCATAGCAGTTGTGGACTACAAAATGTTACCTTCAGTGCAAAGAGAATTAACATGTCAAATTGTTATATATGTTCTTTTGTACAAACAGTAGCAGATGATCAGAGAACAAAATAAAACTTGTTTTAAAATATATTGATGCTTTTTGAAATTAATTTAAAAGGATTAATTTCTGGTAGAGCCTGGTAGGCGGAAATAATTTTTAATGGACCACATTCGGGTAAAGTAAGAAAAACATCGAAAAAAAAATTAAAAAAAAAAAAAATATTGTATATAGGTATGAATGTGTATTAGAAGATTACCTTTATTAATTTATAATTTTTATTATTTATTTTTTTTTATTATTTATATTTATCTTCCTATTTTTTGTATATATTGTAGGAATGAAATTTTGCATCTGTAATACTTTTGCCTTCAATGAGGAAGATCGTGTTATCATTCAATAAATAGTAAAAAAAAAAAAAAAAAAAAAAAAAATATTAACTACTTACAGTATTTGATAAGCAGTAAAATAAAGGTACAGAATCATTTCAAGGAGAAAAAAATATTAAGGAGAAATATTGTAAATATAAACAAAACAATCCGAAAATACCTAATTTTATATTGATTTTTTTTTTAATCAGCTGTTTTTTACACACATAATAAGATTACTAAAGAAATTATTGGGCCGTTTGGCCTATATAACCTCGTTATTTTGACAATTTGGGGGTGTAGGTAACGTGTAGGTCATAAACGGCTCAATATTTTTGAAGGCCATCTTTTTTCTCGACTTTGTGCTCAAATTATCTTACAGTCCAAGTGGAAAGGAAATGGGTATTTACGAGTTTTTAGTACCTAATTAAATAGACAATGTTTGCCGAACCCCAGATTGAAAACGTCCCAATACCTAAAATTTTCGTAAATAGAGTTGTTTTAGGTTACGAGACGAAGCTATTTACGAAGCTTCATGATAAAAAGATGTCTATACCACGGACTATTGGGAGTTGTTAAATGGAATAGAGATGAAAGTGAAGATGATTGATGATTTGTTTATTTAAATAGAATTACTACTACTCAACACATATGTAATTAAATGAACAGCTGTATAATTAGTGCTAATATGAGAGTTCCTGTAATCTGCTGCTCTCCTAGTGCTAAAAAAAAAAAATATGACAAACACTAAAAACTTTTTAATATAATTTTAAGAATATTTTAAGAGGTCGCTTCAAACAGCCCAATATTTTTGTAGGCCTTCTTTGTACGCAATTTTTTTTGTCTAATTATCTTACGATTCAAGTGGAAAAGTACCTTCATGATTTTTTAGTACTTAATTAAATAGACAATGTTTGCCGAACCCCAGATTGAAAACTCATCAATAACTAAAATTTTCGTAAATAAAATTATTGTAAGTTAAGACGAGACAAAGCTATTTAAGAAGTTTCAGGCGGATGTTAATAATTTGATAAAAAGATGTCTGTGCCACGGACTAGTGGAAGTTGATAAATGGAATAGAGGTGAAAGCTAAGAAACATCGAAATTGATGATTTCTTACTTAATGATTTCTTTATTTAAATAGAATTACTAAAGTGGTTTAGAATTTTCAAACTGACAGCCTTTTGGACGGGGTACAGTAATATTTATTAATTATTAATTTAGTAATTATTTCAATCCCGTATTTAAAATACAGTAAGGCTTGCTTTGCGATACCTTTTTTATAAGTATTTTTTTTTATTTATGTGTGAGTAGAAACCTGTAATTTTACCTTGTGAATTGTTATTTCTTTCTGTGCCTGGAGTATGGTATTGTTGTATTAATACACAGACTTCATCCCTTTACAGATTAATTAATTTTATTTGTAAATTAGATTTGTCAAATAATTTTATAAGCTAAGTAGAAAGATGGACAAACCTATAATCATTACTTATATTTTTTAATAGATTAGAGAATATTTGAAGTTTTCTTTTTAATAATGAGATAAAATAAATTAAACTGTAGTTTATGGAAATTTTATTTAAAAATTAATATTAATAATTAAACATACCTTTTTTTAGATGGAGTGGTATAGAAGAGAAGGTGAGGTCTTTATAGGAGACGAAAAAAGAACTATTTTCACTACTTAATAATTAAGACAAAAATTTGTCATGATAAAATATTCGTACGAAAAAATTAATATTAAATAAAATATAATAAATTGTTTAGAGCGAGATTTGCGGGACTTGGTTTCTTTACGGCGCGAAAGTAGTGCTCCGGAAGTGCGTCTGTGAGTGCTGCGGCTCTGAGACTGGACTTTCCTTCACTAGACCAAGGTCGCCCTCCCTACCTGCGTCTCTTCTGTTCCTAAGCCGGCCTCTTGGTAGGCAAAGGACTCTCGGAAGGGATTTTATCTATAAAAAGGATGATAGCATAGAGGATCAAAGAGAAGAAAAAATCGGATTCGGGAAAACCCGCGAGTCCCTATTCTCCTTTGAGAGGTTTCCTTGAAAAGCCGATTTATACTGCGTAGGTTTTTGTTATGACATAAAACAGCGACGATTCATGAGAAAATAATGAAAGCCTTTGAAGTGGATAAAAATAAAATATTTTATGGGACACCTATTTAATCAACATTAAAGTTTTTAAAAAATCACGTCTTGTTTACACGTTTAGAATCCACTGATAAAAAAAAAAGAAGTAATATTTGAAGAATATAAAAATTTTAAAAGTTTGAAAATTACATGTATTTTATATTATACATTTCTGGCATAATAAACTGACTTATTAATAATTTTTATATATCTTCAAAACTACAAGCTTAGCCACAGGTGGATCTACGGATGGGGGGGAGGCTTTCGGGCTGAAGTGCTCCCCCCCAAAATGGTAAAATATTACCATGTTTTATGGAAAAAAATATTAAAAACTATCTCTTAAAGTATTCTTGTTCGTGTAATTACATTTAATAGGACTTCAAGAACCACTTAAACAGCATTTCATATAGATAGTTAATTTTTTTTCTAATTAATTGTTGTTATATGTATATGAAAAATAATCTTTCAGGCTGAAGCTCCCCCCCCCCCCAAAATTAAATCCTGGATCCGCTGGTGATCTTCGCAATAATGGATATTGCTATATAACACTCCATTATTCAGTTTTGACAATATTTTAAAAATGATAACCACTGATCAAAATATATTTTTCTGTACTACAATGCTCTAGATCTCAGGTTCGAATCCGGTTGTGGCAAGTATTATTTGTTCTGTGATAATACCCATGGTTCGATCTAGGGATTGGGAAACCATCATAGGATAAACCCAGCTTGCCCTGATATAAAAGTATCATTAAATTATTATTTAAAGACAAAAAATTTAGAGTTTAAACTTTATCTCGGTCAACCCACCTCCTTGCATAGCCGACCAAGAAGTGAACCCAAGATCCTCCATGGATTGTAGTCACTGGTCACTAGCGGATCCAGGATTTAATTTTGGGGGGAGGGCCTTCAGCCCGACAGCTTTTTTTTTTTTTATAAAAATTACGATAATTACTTTGGAAAAAAAGAAAGAAACTAATTTCCTATATGAAATGGTGTTTAAGTAATCCCTTAAGTCCTTTTAAATGTAATTTCACGAACAACAATACTTTAAGAGATAATTTTTTAATCCATAAATTCCAAGTTTCCATAAAATATGGTTATATTTTACCATTTGGGGGAGAGCTTCAGCCCCAAAGCCCCCTCCCCTCGTAGGTCCGCCGTACTGGTTAACTGTACAATAGAAAACTTGCAAGTTTAGATAAAAATTATTTGAGGGCAGGTAGGGTAGAGGTTTTAGGGCGATAAATTGCTAGATTATTACGCCCGCAGAATTCCTAACTAATAATATTGCCATTTCTAAACTTGTGTAATGTTGTTTTACAATTTGTAAGTTTTAATTTTCAAATTAACTTTTTTTATTATTTAGGTAGTTTCCTTCTTTTTCCCTTTTCTCCTTTTCATTCTCATCCTTTTTTTTTTTTTTTGCATTGCATAATCTTTACTATAAAATAGTAAATGCGATTATTCGAATTTGATGTACTGATATATTTGTTGCGATTTGTTATGATTCATATTTTTTTCCATAAATCTTGATTTCTTTTAGAAGTTCAAACATTGTATCTAATAAACATTTATTGCCTGCTAATAGTTGAGACAACTGGCTGAGGAGACATCTTGAAGAGAAAGCAGCTGAGTATTGTGGACATTCCTCGATGATGTGCCTAATAGTGAGTGGCACCGTTCGCACTTCACTACTTCCTTTTTATTAATTAAGTATCCATGAGTGAGCAGCGAGTGACCTATTCTCAATCTCACCACATCTTTTCTCCTGTTACCTCTCACGCAAGTTTTATATAATCGTGTTCTCTTGATTCATCGTAGCTTATTTTGAGAGGAGACACGTTCCCAGAAGTTTTCCCAATCATCAGAGACCCTGTTCCTTAACCATTTTTTGATGTCTTGGTCTTCGAAAATTTTTATTTGTGCTGCCTCTTTTGCTGCTTTATCCGCTGCTTCCTTTTTCACGTAGTACCAAAATGGACTGAGATCCATATGGAAGTGACAGTTTTTACCCTATTCTTTCAAAATACCTAAATAGTTTTTATAGTATTAAAAATAATTTGATTAAAACTAGGGCTAAAACAATTGTGTTATATTTGTCTGCTTGAAACATTAGGTAAAACTGGCAGTCTGACACATGATAAATTATTGCTGATAAAAATATTGGATTGAAAATATAACGTTTTAGCCTATTTAAAAAAAAAATCGAAAATACTAATAAAAAAAATTGTCTAAATCGGATCGGTTTCAGCAATGATGGCAATGTATTGAATTTTATCCGATTTGAATGATGGTTCACTTGCCAGTTTACATTGCTTTAGTTCACCAAAGAAATAGTACCCTAATCATTTATCTGTTTTAGCAATGGTAAGATTCTCCACTCACGACATGTACAGTCACACTCATAGAAAACAATTTATTAAATCTCTATTTCTTTGTCAGTTTTGAAACGATATTCTAAAAGCAATCGCACCATTGAGCGGTCAAATTTTTCTCCTCCAGGTTTTTTTTGTCTTTCGCTCTATGGTGCTTTTTTTTTCTCAAAACTATAACTACGATTGATTGGTGGTACCCTATTCTCGCTACTATTTCCTGTAAAAATTACTTTATTTCGTGTAACGTCACAATTTTAATATTTTAAAATATTTTAATATTTTAACCGCTCGACGTTTCCGCTTACTCCAACTAGACAATCGTTCTAAGCTTTCAATCAATTACAAACGACTCATATACATGACAATAATAAGACCTATTTGGACTTACGGAATTGAGCTTTGGGGCTCCACTCAACCATCAAATTCCTCTCATATCCAATCCCTACAATCCAAAATCCTTAATGCTCCCTACTTTGTCACAGATAAAGTCATTCATAAAGACCCTAATATTCCACATTTTTTCCGATTTGGCCCAATCCAGATACCTATCCTTCCATAACAAACTCCAGAACCATCCGAACCTTATTGTTTCAAATCTTGCTTCCTCCTCGATCCCTGATAACCCTCCGAGGCGTCTGCAAAGATGATGGTCTCGTTTCAATTGTTTCAATAAACATTTTGGAGGGTAAGAAAAAAAAAAATTAATATTTTTTTGACGAGGACATTTTTTGATACACGTCATAATTACAGCTTTTTATTACATCCTGGCATTAGTTAAATCTGAACTGAGTAACATTGTTTAAGTTTTCTTGTAACCTTAGTAAGCAAAGATAAACAAAAAGATTCAATGGTCTTTAAGCATTGGAAGCTCAATATCCTACCACTGAACTACCCCACTGCCTAGAAGAGATACCAACAGCACGGGGTTTTCCCAGGCGGTCACCCATCAAAGTACTAACCGCGCCCGACGTTGCTTAACTTCGGTGATCGGGCGAGAACCGGTGTATTCAACATGGTATGGCCGTTGGTTTTTTGTTTTATATATAAATATTTTTAGTATTAATATTTTCCTACTGTTTTATTTAATTAACTTCTGTATCACTATTACTAATATCCTTAGTTGTGACAATATGTAATATTACTCAATAAAGAATTGTTGCTTTTAGAAAAAGGAAAAAAAAATGATCAACCAAAAACGTTCTTGAGGATACAGATATGAGAGTGTGTATGTATTGCGGGAGAGAATTTCGTATTTGGCAAGGAGTCGGAAGAGACGAAAGAGTCGTTGTTTAATTATCTAACAATGAATTTTTGAAAGAACGTCTAGTTTGATGAACAAAATTATTCAATGATGATCCTTGAGTATTTTGAGTCAATCTAAGCTCAAAGTAGTCATGTGGAAATCTTTTGTTTGACCAGCCCCAATGAAGGCCTAAACTTTGGGCCCAAACATCGGCAAAAATAAAAATAATTATTTATTTCTACATTTTTTTAAATTGATCATACCAACCAATCTTCTTTTCAATTATTCACTAAATTCAACCATCAATCCACAATTATAAGGTTTTTGTTGGTAAATTCTTGATCATGTGTGATTAAAAATTCATGACCTGAAAAACCGTAAACGTTAAATAAAAAAAATAATTCAAATAAAAAAAAAAACGACTTCTGAAGTAAGCATATCAGAGGATGTCCTTGCATATTTGCTTAAACAACTCAGTGGAGTGTTACTGTTGAAACTGTCTACGAATATATAAAATGTATGTAATAGCTGACGAGTGCCTGTCACTACAGAGTATTGGGAAGTAGAATTCGTTGCATGCATCAGTGAATCCGAAAGTCTTGAATTCCGCTCGTAGATGGAATTCGCACGATTACTACACCATGTTTAAATATTTAGAAATGTTCATTTCACTGACAATCTACCAATGTGCTAAAGTAGATAAGAAAGTAAAACATTCTCTCAGGATGAGTAGAATTATTTTTGTAGTATTTTTTTCTTTTTTAAATTAATTTACTTTTGTAGGTAAAGATTTTTTTTTTCGGTCAGGCTGGGTCCTAGGGCGAAGGAATGTCTAACGTGCCTAGAGGATTACGCAATGCTTATTACATCTTCCGAGGTGTAGAAGTGTTCCGTCCAGCCTAGCTTCAACCCACTGACGGTCTACAGTTGGGCAAGAGAGGAAGAGGACATTTTGGTCTAAAGGCCCCAAAATGGGAAAAAAATATATATATATATTTTTTTTTATTGTTCATATTTGTTACTGTGAGAGACTTAAGCTAAATAAAGATCATAATATGTTTTATTTGAAAATTATAATGCATACAC